CTGCTTTGCCATTAATTCTTAAAGAGCTAAGTTGTATTGGCAACCACCATGGTGCATTTTCTAATAAAACAACATCAATGGGGGCCCAGTAGTTATTTGTAATTTCAGTTACTATCCCACCAAACTCTTTACCATATCCTAAAACATAACGTGTAAAGTGCAGTGGTGGTGGTATTGTAACAAGCAATTTATCTTTTGTATCATATTTCACTCCAATGTTCATCATATGATTATAAGATTTAATATCGTAAACAGCAAGCATTGTGTCACTACCACCTCTTTGAGATAATATTACATTATTTGGAGATGGGCTCAACTTAAATGAATAGGTATCATTGGAAGAAACATCTATGTATATTTTACTAGACGATGACAAAGGGCAAGCTCCTGGCAAGCCTTGGCCAAATAGTTTTCTAAATGACCAATCCATACTGTCTATAATTTTATAATCATAAACTAATGCAACAGTCTGCTTTATTTCTATATTTATATCAGAGCAATTATCAACCTTGCACATTTTTCTTACATGTACTCCAATGGAATGGTAATTAGTATTATGAATCATTCTAGAGTTCAATAGCGATGAGAACCCATGGCTAGACTCACAAGGCAACAATTTTTTCCATGGAGTTAAATTTTCTGTACACACAATTTCTCTTGGTAATGTTGCATATCTTAAACGAGAAGTAATGTTTTGATTAGTTTTTATTGCACCCGTAGGCCATATTGCCATCTGCGGTACAACTGTATTAAAACTATCAATAAAATTAAGTGAAGCACAAAAAAGCCCTGAAAGTGTCGCACTTAGCTTTCGCCACTGTGTATCAACATCCTCAACACTAGGCGAAAACCAAGCATAGAGTTCAGCGCCGGGAGCTGCGTCTAATATCGGATATCCCCATTTGCTATGTTTCCACTGGCCTTCAGTTAGAGTCAGATGAAGCTCATCCACTTGGAAACGGGAGATTACCTCTCCCAAAGACCGTGACGCCAAGTGAGAATGCTCGACTGAAAAACAAAAGTCAAATGATGAAATAATTTGTGTATTCTTAAAAGATTATTAAATAAAAATGTTCTTACAGGATGACTCTTCACTCGTAGTAATAAATTGAAAGTAAACATAGAGATGAGTAGGTGGTAATGGTTTAATAAATATTTCTTCCTTAAAATCATCAGCACGGACGTAATGCGATTTCAATAACAATGATAAACACAACACAAAAACCGTCCTCATTAGAAATGTTTTATAAAAATTTGTTTGTTTTGAAGAAGAAAGAAGTTAAATGAAGCGTGGTTTCATTCAAACTTTATGGAATGTCAGCTTAATTAATGAAAGTACTCAGTGGTACATAATAAGTGATAATCATAGATAAATATATATGTAGCAAGCTAATGATAATAAATGGTATTATTATATTTGATTTCAAAAATTAAAAAATACTAAATGTCAGTGAATACTGATTAGGCATGAGACCGATATATCAAAACGTAACTAATAACGTTATGTTATCAAATATCATATCATATCGATAAACCTAAGTACGTAATCGTTATCACAGTGATCGGAATAAGTAGTGCAATTTGTACCACTATCACCACTTGTACACTCAACGAACCAAGGAACGTAAGTATAAGTAATACAAAATCCCAACTGTATAGGGGACAATAGAAAAGAAAGTGACTACGCTTACTAAATATCATTTTGTCTCTTTCTCTCGCACATGGTAACAATGACTTTTACGCTCTAATCAACTATCCCCACAATAAACCATGCATTTACCAAGTAGCTTAGTACTTTAAATTTTAAGAATTAAATTAATCGTATTAAATTCTAACTAAATGGGATTTAAATGCATATCCATATTAGGATAACGTCACGAAATCCCACAAAATTGCACTATCTATTCCGATCACTAGTTATCAAATATCCAACCAAAACCAACGTACGAAACGTCAAACGCAAACTGGAACTATATGCCAACATGGCCCACGAACTAATTGATGTCCTACATTACTATTCGTTGTTTCTCTTTCTTGCGACAGTATCATAAATACGTATAGAAAGAGATGAAGCGAATATGGATTTCGTTGCGATGTTTTGATAGTTATCACACAACGGTGCACGTAGTGAAATATAATAATAAGATCATTAACAGTAAGATCGAATTTTATATAGTGAAAATTGCCTAATTTTTAAGTCTGTATATTTGTGAGAGTTGTCAAATTTAAATGGTCTTTAGGTCATTAGACACAATAAGACTTAGACCTACATTATATTTGGTTTAGGCAACTTTTTGTTTATGTTTTGAATGGAAAGCTTAAATAATATAACTTAATAATAACTTAATAACTTAAATAACCATTAATAAAGAAACTACTTATAATAATTCTCTATATATATAATATGTAAATTATGTTTACTTCTTATGCGTACACTTTAATTATAGACTTTGAAATCAAAACTGAACCTTGGTCTCACTTCAAAAACATGTGTATAAACTATAGAAATAAATAAGGATAGAAAGAATGTAATTTTAGACATATATAATGCTATATTATTGCATAACAATGAATTTACATAAATTATATATTAAGTTTCTATAAATGTTCCCTCGGTTTTAGAGCCTTGTGGAATATTTAGAGATGATGGCAGGAGACCCGATGGTATGACATTGATCCCTTGGGAGAGAGGTAAAGCCCTAGTGTGGGATGCTACTTGCGTAGACACTCTGGAGGCCTCTCGCCTCAGGGGTAACTCTTTTAGAGCCAGGGCGGCATCAGAAGCTGCTGAACTCAGTAAGTGGCGCAAATATGAGTCTTTGAAAGATGACTAGATATTTGTGCCATTTGCTGTAGAAACTATCGGTCCGTGGGGTCCACGTGCGGTGAAGTTTCTAAAGGAACGCCATCCGCGGCTTATCGTTTTTGCTGGTGATAAGAGGGCTGGTTCTTTTCTCGCTCAAAGGCTAAGTATAGCCATTCAGAGGGGAAACGCAGGCAGCGTTCTTGGCACGATACCGCGGGGAGTAGGACTATATGTATGATAAATAAGTTTCTAGTTTTAGTTTTTTTTATTATTATAGTTTTTAATATTGTATATAATAAAATATTCTATATTATATTATGTAAATAAATATTACTTTCTATTAAGATACATGTCTAAATATTACATCTAAGATTATATTAGAGCCTCTGACTTCTAAACTAAAATAATCGAAGTAATTCGTAAAATAAATGTTGCACTGGTTCTATAGTTTTTGGTTATGTTTCAGTTGTCGTTTGCGCATTTAGTAGCAAGCCATTACTACTGAAGTCAATATTTAAAAACGGTTTTCAATAACGATATGAAAACTAAATATCGGTTATGCAACCATTGCAGCTAAAAACTGAAAACGCCCATGCTTATCAGTGAATATTGAATAATATTATACCTATAATCGGTATTTGAGAAAAATAATTTTAGATTTCATTTCAATAAGATCATAGATAAATAAATATGTAGCAAGTTAAATAATTAAATAAATATAAATAAGATTGTTGTTACAATTCGAAAATAAGGGCAGGCAAAAGTCACAAATCATACAGCTTTTTCAATATCATGTTATTTTTAAAATAATAGTAATTATTCTTCTTTTTAAAATAATAGTAATTATGCTTCGCTGTGTCTGTTTTTCTTATATATAGTTTGTGCTCCTAAAATATTCAATCAAATCATAAGCAAGACATAAGCCGAGCCAAGTCTAGAGTCAGAAATTAAATCAGTTATTAAATTATTTAAATTAGTTAAAACGTAGTGCTACAGCTCAAATACTTCTTATTTTTCATAACAACATTAACTTACATATTTAACGAGGCTTTGGTGGAAACGACCGCCGCGCCGGCAGATGGCTGTTTCTGTATTATTGTTTAAATAATGGTTTGAAGTGGATTTACGTGAAAGTGTCGTGATTTTGTGTAGTAGGTAAATGTTTGCGCATATGAACTATTAGTGAAAATGATTACATTTGACCAACGACCAAAGAATATTTGACAGAATTTTGGCGGGAACTTGATTGATTACTGCTCTAGTTTTATTGTTTGATTGATGGTTTGATGTAGATTATACCTGCGCATATGAACTAATAGTGGAAACGATGTCACATGTTGTTGATGTTCCATGGTAATATAAATCTCAGGATTTTTTATCAGATTCGGGACTTTGTGATATTATTGTCATCAACAGACCGTTGGGTTAAGCTATCGTGTAAATTTCTCTAAAATTTGCAATCTGGCGAATCAACAAATTGTGAGGAGTTTAGTGAATAAAATGCAAATATAATATACATACTAAGCTGTATGGTTGATGACCTTTGCCTCCCTTTAACAGTGAATTCCACAACCATAGACAAAGGATATTCTTTATCTATAGTTACAACAACAACAATGATAATGACATTGATTATCATTTGACAGTTTGATTGTTGTCGACAAAGTTTTGAGACGTCGACTACAACCAACTACAACTACGTTCAATATTTATGTGTAAAGTTATTTACAAAAACTTTAATATTAAATTATTATTCTTAATTCACATTTATTCTCTTTGTCGTATTAGTTTGTGACTTAGTGTTGGTTTCGGCAAAGTGTAACTTTAAAACGTAGTGATTTTATTCTCTTGGAATTATTTGTTTATATTCATAGTTGTGCTAGGAGAGTAATAGTGTTCTGTGACTGTGTAGAATGTAGATTAATAATGGTCATAAAAAGCAGGAGCAAAATAAAACTAATAGTCTCTTGTTGAGCGGTAGAGACTACTACAGTAATATTGTTCTGTGATAATAACGACGTCGATCGACTATAAAATTAATTTTATTATAAATAAATTAAAAACGCAGTTAAAAATTAGAACCAAAACAAAAAAAAATATAGGTTATTAATATAAGAATAAGTGTGTATTGAACCAAAGTTTAAATTTTATTTCTTGTGTTGTTATTGCCAACTTGTTTAAATTTTGTTCAACAATGGATAATGAATTTGTTGTCAGATCAAACAGTCTGTGCCTTCAACTTGGTTATGGAATAGGCCATGTTTTAAATGATGTTTGTGCAAGCTTATGGTTTACCTACTTTTTAGTATTTTTTCATTTAGTTCTTGAGTTTAGTTCCACTCAAGCTGGCAACTTAATGTTAATAGGACAAGTGGTAGATGCTATTGCAACACCATTTGTTGGGTATCATTCTGATCACACTGACAATTTTATAAGTGCCCGATATGGAAAACGAAAATTGTGGCATTTATTTGGTAAGTTGTTAAGCTCAGCTAAGGCAGATCTGTACAAAACCTATAATCGATTTTGAAGGGAAGAGGTGAGGTTGGCGAAACCCCCTTTGTGTGGAACAGAACTCTCTAGCTTTTGAAAACAAGAATTACAAAAAAATCTCCTAGACTTCAATCCACTGTTGCTATTGTGTTCTTTCAAATTTCTAGTTATCAGAAGTCACAGTTATTTTAATTATTATTCTTCAAAATTTACTACATCAAGGTTTAGCCTAAAGCAATCAGCTGCATCCACTAGCTATTTTCCTGTTACCTGGCCTTTAGATATTTCATAAAGATTACAACAATATATTGAAAATTAAAAATTCAAATAAGGATTCTAACATAATATGATAAATTATAATATTATCAAAATAAACCATAACAATAAATGAGAGAAGGAAAGAAACATGTTATTTTTCCACAGACAATTGATGCACACAATAATATTTATCAATATTTGTCTTAAAAATATATAAATTTAATAAATTTGATTTAATGAATTTCAAAGGCATGCCAAAAAAGGCAATCACTCAGTATGATTAAAATACATATTAATTATAATATAAAGGGCTAAAACTATTACACTTTATTTAATTATACCTATTTATTCTTTACAATTCAATTTATTCAATATATATCTTTTTAACCACCGATGCAAACAGAGGGGTGTTATATGTTTAACATGTGTCTCTATGTGTCTGGCTGTGGCGTCGCAGCTCCCAAACGGATGAACCAATTTAGATTTAAGTTTTTTTTTGTTTGAAAGACAATTCGACCTAAAGTGTTCTTAGCTATGATTCTAGAAAACTTTTGAACCGTTTGAAGACCATCAGCTCTTTTAGTTTCAGGGTTTTTTTTAATTTTAAGTTATTGACATTGGTTTTTTGTCTTTGGAATAACAATTTGGCTAGCCTTTATGTTAAAATTGATTTTAAATACTCCTTGCATCAATCAGAAAAAAAATTTTTGTGAATTAGATATTAGATAGAGACATAAAACATTATGTCATTTGAAATTTGTAAAAGTGCACATTAAAATGTGACTAGCGTTTTTAAATGTAAAAAACATTCTGTTCATTTATATAAAAAATAGTTTCAAACTTTAATAGTACAATGTATTATATGCATTTCTGATATAATATTTTAGGACTAGACGGACTTACAAAAATAAGATCTATTCCTTACAAAAGTTGGAACCTTCAAATCAATTGTAGATTTTGTATAATTGAGCCACTGAATGTGTAATATTAAATTTTTAATCATTATCAAATTTTGATTTGTCTTTGTTTTATTCCCACAGGCACTTTTTGTGTTTTGTCATCTTTCCCATTTATTTTCATGAAATGTATTGGGTGTTCAATGGCACATAAATGGGCGCAGATGTATTACTTTGCAGCATTTATTCTAATTTTTCAAATTGGATGGGCTGCAGTTCAGATTTCACACTTAAGTTTGATACCAGAGCTGGCTGAAGATTCTCATATAAGAACACATCTTACAGCAATTAGGTATTTAATATATTGTTTCATTTTATCTAAACAATTGACAACCAACCTGCAAAATATTTCTAGTTGCAACTTTTAGAAAGTGTAGTTTTTTTTAAAATAAAACTGAAATGACAAATGAACCTCCAATCCACTTGAAGGTAAGTGGCTACTGCAGCCCTTGGACATGATGTGTGTAACCTTTGTTTGAAGCAAATTTCACTTCAAACAAAGGTTACAGATGTGTTGTCACATCTGAGGAGTATGATGTAGTGTCACACAGCCTTAATAAAATATACTGGCTTTCTATACCCTTTGTTCCAAAATAGCAGTGCAAGCACTATGGTATGTGGTGGTAGAAACCTATAAGAGGATGATAAGAGTCGTGGTGGGCTTGTGATTCTATGATCATAATTCTTTTTCAGATTTTGGTACTTACATATTATAATGTCTAGTTCAACTTAACTTGGTCAACTTATAAATTATTTTGTTTCAGATATGGGTTTACTGTGTTTTCAAACTTGTTTGTCTATATTATCACATGGATTGTATTACACATTACAGGAGAGTGTGATAAGGAGGTATGATTGATTTTATTATATTATTATAAATGCTTAATAAGTAAAATGTTTTGTCAAATATAATGTAATATATTATATATAGTGAAATACCACTGATTGACTAATTGACTCATCACGAGATCTCTAAAACTATACACCCAATTGACTTGAAATTTAATATAGTTACTCATTTTGCAATGTAGACTCAATAAGAATGTGTTTTACGATAGTCCTATAAAAAAATTCTTGATATTTTACATCTAGGTTTTACAATAAAATATTATCGTGCTCCCAGTGAAGCAAGATGGTATCAGCTAGTGTCATGATAAATTTATATTTATATCATAATGATTTTCTAAAATTTCTATAACTAAATGAATCAAAATTATACTTTTAATGAAAAGTAAAAGCCGATTTGAAAGAACTAAAAAGAATAAAGTAATTTCCACATAATAGCTTCTGAAGTTGTTGCTAAGACATAGTGCAGAAGAATTTTTTTTTACTATTTTGAGTGAAGTAAGAAATATCTTAAGGTATCGATTACGCACTCCTGGAGCGCGCGCCATGAATGACCGCGCCGACCAATGCGTTCCGCGGAAGGCGTCCCAAATCTTCGAAGTGTATCAACTATTAAACGCGCCCGGCGCTCGCGGCAACCTTTACAGTGTTTGACCCTCCAACATAGATGTCGGTCGTGTACGAACAACTGCCACTTTCATAGCTAAATGCATCTTTTCCGAGCGCTTTATTATGATAAAAACGACTTTTGCTATTCCAGAACAGTTATTTTGAACCATATAATTTTACCAATTTACGGCAACTTTGGTTATCCATAACTCGGAACGCGACGAACACACGAATAATGAAAACAACCGTCCCAACTAGCACGCGCGCCAAAACATAACTACTTGATACGCGGTAAAAAACCGACACCAGATGGAGCGGCCCGCTCCACGTTTTAGCGTTCCAACGAATAATTTGGCGCGCGTTCCAAGGCGGTATCAATCTTTTGGAGCGCATAATCGATACGCGGCTGTAAAGTAACAACTAGAATGTTGTCTAAATAGTTACATTAAAAACTCGAACAACTAGTTACATTACACCCCTGAATCCTAACCTGTTTAAAAAAAAAACTTTAAAATTGATTCACAATTAACAAAAAAATACGATTGAATCGCGATTTTTCTTATTTTTAAATTTAAAAAGGACAAATATAACAAGTATGTTGCTTTATTTTAGCAAGTGGGACCAGCAGATGCCTGGAAGTTCCGGCACATTGTTTATATAGTGTTGGGTGTTGGTACTACAGCTTCTGTTCTTTTCCACATATGTGTGTCTGAAGGAAGAGGATTTAGGCAGCAACAACCATTAATTGACCATAATGATGGCAATAGAGTGCATTTGAGCATATTTCGAAAACTTCGTTTGTACCAGGTAAAGTTTAAATCATGGATGTCTTTAAAGAGTTATATAATTTGAATGGAAGACTTATATATAACGTGGTGTGAATTGTACTTCTTTTAGTATTCTATAATGTTCTCTTACAAGTAATTCATAAGGCAGAACACCCGCCCCGACTAACGAACGACAAACGAAACCTTATTATTGTCACAATTACATTTTAATTATAATAATATTATATATATATATATATATATATATATATATATATATATATATATATATATATATATATATTTGTATTTTATATTAAATTAGCACATATGCAAAATAAATGACAATTAAAAAATAATGGAACTCGATATAATTAACCATACAATCTATGATGACAAAACCTGACAGCGCTTATATCAACTGCGCATGCGCGACTCTACAATCTCCCGCTTGCGCGAAGACATACTACGTACCGTAAAATGGGGTGAATAGAAATCGCGGGGTGAATAGACATAAGTCTGGTTATTTAATAAAGTTTTCTCTAGGTTTGTCTACAGCTCGGGAACGTCTGTTTATTACTAGTTATGCATCCCGGTATTCCCGGAACGGCACCGAAGACCATCACAATTCAAGTGTAAGCGTGGGCGTAGATTGCTGAATTGCGTCTGGAGGACGGGTGGTCTTTCGTGTGAACACTGATAACTGTTCTTTAGCTTAAAGATCTAGAATAAGAAATAAGATAGTCATAGTTAGGCTCTCACATGTATCGGACATGTAGCTTTAAGTTAGAATCCATCGCGGATTAATTAAGTAGTATATAAGTAATGTATCGTACATTAATAGTAATAAGTGTAAAATAAAGTCTTTTTAAAAACGTCCTGAGTCAATTTCGAATCTTGAATGGTGCAGCCGGTAGGATTTTGCGTGAAAAGCTTGCTCATATAAGAAGACTCCCAAATCAGTCGTCGTGAAGCAGTTTACGGTGCCGTCTTGCACTTGCGCGAAATCTACGAACCGAAATAAATTTGTCGAATTCGAATCAGGACATCAAGAAAGAAGACTTCCTAGCCCAGGCGGAAGGATGAGTTCGAGTGTACTGTGAGTAAACCTTTTCACGTCCATCTCTGTTCCCATCTATTTTTGCTTGCTAGAATTTTAGTGTTATTTGATCTTTCCTAAATCGAACAAAATAAATTGCACAAGCATAGGCAATTTATTCTATATCATTAAGTTTAATAATTAAATATTGAAAATCAATTTTAAATGAATAAAATTTATAAAATTGTGTTATAAGAAAAAATAAAAATTACATAATTAAACAAATAAAAGGATATATTAAAGAAATAAAATTAATAAGTATATAAATTGTTATATTAATATTTAATAAAATGGAACAATTACGTGTAATACCTAAGGATTTACTTTGTCTTATACCTAAGTTTGAAGGAGAGGAAGGATTATTAAATTTCTTTATTAAGAAAGCTCAATACATATACAGGTCTTTCGCAGACCCTAATAATGCCATACAAACTTTATATGTATTCCATGCGATAAGCAGCCGATCAACAGGCAGAACAGCACATTTGTTAAGTGAGCGTGATGATATTAATTGTTGGAACACTCTTAAAAAGATATTTTAATTTAACATTTTGGCGATCCGCGTTCGGAAGTTTGCATAGCTATCGAGTTAGAACAAATGAAAATTAAGTCTGGCGAATCATTTATCGATTTTTGTCATAGGATACAACATATGCGTAGTACCTTATTCGCAAAAGTCAATCTAATACAAGATGAAGGAGTAAAAGCAGCTAAAATGATAGTGTATAATAATATGTCACTAAATGTATTCCTTTATAATTTACCTGAGGATTTAATTCGTATCGTGCGTCTTAGTGTACTAGTTTAGAATCCGCTTTAAGTGTCGTAACCGAAGAAGTGAACTTCATGAACCAATATAATGTTAAAAATAAAACGAAACAGAATACAGCATCCCAAAGTTGCAAACCTCAACAAAGTGTTAATATTTTACCTAATAATAATCAATCGTATTTTAAATTTGCAAATCTACAATTTGGACCACGGAATAAATTTAAATTTGGTATCCCACATCAGCAACAAGGTCAAAGATTTGTTGCTCAAAATAATTCCAATAATGGCCCAAGATTTAATAATAATACGGAACCACAGAACTATTAAGTTTGGTATTCCAAACCAGCAATCTAAATTTAAATTTGGCATACCTCAACAACATTAGGGCTTTAAGCCACCCGTGAATAATCATGCGCGTCCCCCCGAAATAATACAAATAAATTGTGATTCAATTTTAAAACTCCCACACATCGAAATACCGGAATTTCAGGCTCGTTTTATGATAGACACCGAGAGCACGAGATCTTTTATAAGCCCGGCTAAGGCAGAACAATATTTCTCCGCTTTCAAATTATATGAACCTTTCGAAGTTATAAGTACGCATGCACGTAGCCAATATAACGAAGCTATATATATATATATATATATATATATATATATATATATATATATATATATATATATATATATATATATATATATATATATATTTATTTATATAGTCATAATTAAATATATATAAATAATAAAATGTATAGTAAATATCAAAGATATGGAAACTTACATAGAAGACAGAGATAAATAATGTTCTTTTACACGTTTTTTGAATAATGTGACTATTATGATTTCTCGAATGGGAGGAGGAAGTGAACACCAGAGTCTTACTGCATGTACAGCACAGTACAGGATGAGCGGGAATATGAATGAGCTTTAAAGGATGGGAATTTTAAGAGGGTTTTAAGGTGAGATCTACAAACTGCATCTGGAGATTTAAAAAAGGTAAATCGATTGCGAAGATATGAAGGGAAATTCGGACTATGTAAAATGTTAAAGAGAAGACAAAGCATATGAGTGTTCCTGCGAAATCGGATCGGGAGCCACTTGAGCTGCTTTCTGTATTTAGAGACGTGGTCAAACTTCTTGAGTCCAAAAATATACGGAATGCAAAGGTTTTGCAATCACTCAAGTTTGTTTAATTGCTCCTCTGTAGAATCCAAAAAACAAACATCATCGTAATCTAAGATTGGCAAAATGAGAGTTTGAACAATACAGATTTTATTTGATAAGGGTAAAAAACTTTGAAGTCGTTTTAACGAGTGAAAAGCATAACGAACTTTTCTGCTTAAGTCCGTTATATGAGCACCCCATGATAACCTATTGTCAATAATTAGGCCCAAGTTCTTCGCAGATTCCGAATAAGCAATTGATGTGCCATTGATAATCACATTTGGCAGGGTGCAGTAGTCAATAATGCTACTATTTTATCTGCTACTTACTATTAACGCTTGAGACTTACTTGGATTTACAGTTAAACCATGGGATCTGGACCAACTACTAATTCTATCCAAATCGTCATTCAGTGCATTTATCGCTAATTTAGCCTCAGATGCCTCAAAGTGACGGTAAAGCTGCAAATTGTCTGCATAAAGATGGAAGTTGGAGGATATTATTTTCGTTATAGAATTAATAAAAACGGTGAAGAGTAAAGGGGACAAGACGCCACCTTGGGGTACACCTGCAATAAGATTACACCAGTTGGAATAAGTGTCATTGGAGCGGATACATTGCGAGCGTCCCCGAAGATAGGAATCAAACTAAAGAATGGCCGAAGATGAAACATTGATAGCCTGAAGAATTATAACGAGGATATCAAAGTCAACAGAATTGAAGGCACTACTAAAATCTAATAAAACGAGTACTGTTGATTGTTTTTGATCTATGGCTTGACGGATATCATCACTTACCTGAAGAAGAGCAGTTGTTGTACTGTGACCGGGCCGGAATCCAGATTGAAATGTACTTAAAATATTGTTGGAGTTAAGATAAGAAGAAAAATTGATTGTGAACAATATGTTCAAGTACTTTAGAGAGGAATAGTAATATAGATATAGGTTGAAATTCAGAAGGTAATGTAGGGTTAGCAACCTTGGCTATAGGAATAATGTGTGCTAACTTCCACGAATATGGAAAGCAGGAGAAAGACAATGAAAAATTAAATATCTAAGTAAGAACTGGGAGAATACAAGGTAAAATCATAGTTATCATTGTGGAAGAAATTTTATCGTTTCCCGACGCAGTAGAAGATATGGATAGCACTAATCGCTTTACTTCATCTTCTGACACTGATAAAAATTCAAACTGGGGGAAATGTTGTAAAGGGCATCTGGATAATTCTAACAAGGTCTTAGCCTTTATAAATGAAGATAAGGAAACGGGTGGAAGAGAAAAATGTTGATTGAGAGTATCTCTATCAATATTTCCAATCGCAAGTGCAGGATGTTTGCCAATGCCGACTGTTTTGAGAAAACTCCAGGCTTTTCCTGAATCGCAATTTGAAAGTGAGTCATGAAAGTAGCGCCTTTTGGCATCTCTATACAGACGATTGCAGCGGTTACGCAAAATCTTAATCTTGATTAGATTTCTTTCCGAGGGACAATTTTATATCTAATTCTGGCTTTTTCCCTACGTGCCATAAGCTCTTTTATCTCTGTTGTAATCCAGGGCGCAGGACAATGTTTTATTTTTATACGTTTGAGAGGTGCATGGCAATCATACAATCTAAGAATTAAAGAAGTAAAGTTATTCACCATATTATCAATATTTTGAGAATCCATTCCGGAAGACCAATCCATTTTACTTGTATCTCGTCTTATGGCTTCGAAGTCAATACCCTTATAGCTACGAAAAAATCGAAAATGTGATTTACGCTTTGGTGGACGAACACGGTACGAAATGAAAATGAGGTCATGGTACGAAAAAGAAGCTGTTATTTGTCCATGATTCGCAATGTTATTAAAGATGAAACTATTATAAGGTCAAGTAAAGACGGAGTAAACTGATGGGTGGCAGAGAGGGGTACAATATGTAGATTACGTGAGGACACAATAGACTTCAGCGTATATGCACGTGAATCGTTTCTGAGTAAGCAAGTGTTGAAATCTACCATCACG